GGTTTAAATTTATATTTTATAGATTTCTCTGTATTCGAAAATTACATTATTGCCAGCACAATATTATCTTATGTTCTATTTCTGCTGATTCAATTGTGGTGTTCTGCCACTTGAATCCCACCTTGTTGCCTGGACAATCTTATGAGAAATTGTACTGTTTGTATTGTTATAAACTTTTGTGCTAACCTCATTAGAAATTCTTTTCTTTATTGTTATATTTACTTTCTTGGGTCAACCATTGGTTTTGTTTTGTAGCGATATTATTCATTTCAGTTGTTCAACTTGATTCAGTTATCTTTATATAATTTTTATCTTTTCTTTGTCAGGCTTATATGTTCAAGTATGATTCTACTCATGGGCCTTTCAAGGGAACCATTAAGATTGTTGACGATTCTACTTTGGAAATAAACGGGAAGCAGGTTAAGGTTGTGAGCAAAAGGTATGTTGAGTTAAACCCCAAACAATTGAAATGGATGATACGGATGTGATTGATTCATTTACTATCAGTGGAGATGTAAATGAATAACTTGAAAATTTTGATTTACCTGTGTACTTTATTTTTCTATTCAGAGATCCTGCGGAGATCCCTTGGGGTGATTTTGGGGCTGATTTTGTTGTTGAGTCTTCAGGAGTGTTCACAACAGTGGATAAAGCTTCATCTCATTTGAAGGTTAATTTTTTTAGTTACCTATGTATTTCTCTCCTCTCGTTCTTAGCTTGAAGTTGAAATCTTAATTTGTTTCTATCTTATTATACTGTAGGCTGGTGCAAAGAAAGTCATAATATCAGCTCCATCTGCTGATGCACCAATGTTTGTGGTAGGAGTGAATGAGAAGACATACAATCCAAACATGGACATAGTTTCTAATGCAAGCTGTACTACAAATTGTCTTGCTCCTCTTGCTAAGGTAAGATTTGATATCCAGTAAAGCTAAGCTTTTATCCTGCTATATAATGAGTTAATGATGATGTCTAATGTTTTGGCTTGTAATTTAAAGGGTGAAAAGATTTAGGATTTAGGGCATTAGCAAGAATGATTAGAAGGTTTGAAAAATCTTATGCTTGTGTGACTTCCAAACCAGGCAAGCTTGTTAGAAACTTTCTTTCAGTGTTTTAAGACATGGAATATGCAGTTTTCTATATTCTTTGTTAACCGTTGGGTCCACAGGAGTTGATCTTTCATTTATGCCGGGGCTTGCACTTTGAAAGGTTTAGAAAAAAGCTAGTGAAATCACAACTTTTAATTAATTATATCGCTATCAAACATTTTTGGGTACTTACTAATTTTAAGATATACCAAACTGCTGGAGAGCAGTGAACTCATGGAGTTCAGTGCTGACCTAATCCATATGCTATGTGACTATATATTCTATAGTGTTAGTGACTAGTGGTAGTTCCTCTTCCTTAAAAGCATGTCAGATGATTTGGAAACTAAAATTGCTATTTTAAAATTTCTAAGCGGTGTTTGCTTTTACATCCATCCTTAATTTCATTACCCGCTTTACAAAATTATGTAAAATGATTGTCTAATCCTTCTTCCATCTAATCTTCAGGTGGTTCATGAGGAGTTTGGTATTGTTGAAGGTTTGATGACAACTGTACATGCAACAACAGGTCTCTTTTACATATTAGTTAATCATATCCCCTGATTTCTTCTATAGAGTTATTCTTGTATATTTAACTGTGACATTATATGCTGATATGGGGCTTGTTAATATGATTCTTGGTTGTCGATCAGCAACACAAAAAACTGTAGATGGTCCTTCAATGAAGGATTGGCGAGGGGGAAGAGGAGCAGCTCAAAATATAATTCCAAGCTCCACTGGTGCTGCTAAGGTAAGAGAAGGACGATGTTGAAGATAATGTATGCTTGCTATTTTCATTATAGGTTATGAGATTTGGTTTGTGTTAATGAACTCACAGGCCGTCGGAAAAGTTCTTCCTGAGTTGAATGGAAAGCTCACTGGAATGGCGTTCCGTGTCCCTACACCAAATGTTTCTGTTGTGGATTTAACCTGTCGGCTTAAAAAGAATGCCTCCTATGAAGATGTTAAAGCAGCAATAAAGTATGTTCACTTTTGCTCTGGCTTTTAACAATTTTTTAGTTTGGATTTTTTCTCCACTATTCTCTTGGTTTGATTGAATTTTGACTTTTATGTTGTTCAAAATTGAAGGCATGCCTCTGAGGGATCATTGAAAGGAATTCTTGGATACACAGATGAGGATGTTGTCTCTAATGACTTTGTTGGTGACTCGAGGTAAATTTCGACTTCTGTCTTGGATTTGGTCTTGTCTGTATCTAGTTTCTTATATAAATCAAATGGAAGAGTATTTTACATACCTAGTTTCTTATCCATTCATTTGTTTGATGAAGTGCTTGTCTTAAATGAAAATTATTTTCAACAGGTCAAGTATCTTTGATGCTAAGGCGGGTATCGGGCTCAGTGCTTCGTTCATGAAGCTGGTTTCGTGGTATGACAATGAGTGGGGTTACAGGTATGTGAATGCAATAGCCTCGAAGATTTGCTTTCATAGTACACATACTAACAATAACAAACTCTTTAGAAGCAGCAACTTTATGTCTATGCTAAGATGCTCATTGAATGGTTTTTTCTTTCAGCAACCGAGTGCTGGACCTTGTAGGGCACATGGCATTGGTGGGAGCACGCAACTGATCACAGAATAATCTTTTTTTTTTTTTTGGCTGCTGTTGCCATTGATGTCGCAATTTTTAGCTGGTCTTGAGTTAGGTTAAAGTTTGTAGCTGAGTTTAGGGTTCTTGAACCAGACTCTGTTACTGAAAGTGCTATCCATCTTTGATGTTTCAGAATCCCTAATCTCTCACTCTCATACCAAAAACAAAAGTTTGTAGCTTGCGTAGGCCATCGGATTTTTGGTTTTGATCCTATATTGTTTTTATAAGATGTGAAGTTAATGATCACATCATGTACACTGGAAAAAATATAAAATAAAATTGAAGACATTACTGTTACATGTTTCAAATTGTTTTTAATCTGAAAATGAATTTATGAGCTTTTTTATTATTTATCTTTTAAGGTGACCTTTTTTTTTTTTTGACACAAGTAAACACCTCACTCACACACATATTAGAAAGTCTCTATTTCCACCAAAGAGAATTGAACTTGTTTGGCACACATTAGAAGCAAATATATTTACCATTAGGACTAAGTTTCAGTCACAAGGTGACTGTTTTACGTTGGTCTATATTGCATTATACTCAATAGTCAATACTCAATTACTCATAAAACATCTTGATCTCTAGTAATTGGATATGGTACCGGTTGTGAAGGGGAAGTTTATTGGAGAAAGGAAAAATAATATTAATTAATACAATTAATATTATATGTTTTTCTAAAAAGAATATCATTATCAAGGCCTCAAAGGCAAAGATAGAAAAATAAATTAATATTATTTGATTATTATATATGTTATATAGCATGGGTTTATATAGCATGGGTTATTAATGTGTTTGCTAATGAAAAGGAAATTGCATGCTAAGGTTATTATATATTACAGGAATAGTTCAGGTGGTACATAGTTTACAATAATCCAATTTAATAATCCAATGATCTTAACTGTTGATTTTAATTTGTATATATTTTATAATTGAAATGAACGATTAAGATTATTGGATTACCATATACTCTGGAGCACTTGACCTGCTTCCTATATTATAATACAACCATGCTAGATAACCAATAAAAATTCAGCCAACATCAGCCAACAACTTAAACTGAATGTTTTATTTCTTTATATTTTGGATGTTCTATTTTTAAGTTTCGGATATTCTGTTTCTAAAAAAAATATAAAGTTGGCTGAGGTTGTTTTATGTTTCGGATGTTCTATAAACAGTAGTTTTAGATGTTTTATTTTTTATTCGCTGATTTATTAGTTAAAAAATTATTGGTTACATATACTTTTTCATTATCATATTAGATCGCATGGGTTTAATAGTCAACTTACCATTCGCATAAGTCAATGTCGAGTGTTCAAAACTCGCCTTGTGCATATAGCAAGCAATCCATTGTCGGCAAAAGCTCAAATGAAATTCAAATCTAGGACGAATAAATCTTTTATTTGTAGGGGTGTCGCATGGGAAAAAGAAATTGTCGATCACATCACTCAAATTATAGAAAAAGTTTTGTTCTTTTTATCTGCATAATTTAATCAATTAGAAACTGCATGTTTAGCATATGATACATATATAAATGACATTTATACATTAAGATCAAGGTGCATAAATATAACTGGAAATTTTAATAACATAATAATATGACTTCGCATTATAGTAACATCTTCGCATTTTCCTTCCTTTCATAATCTGATGATCCACACAAGCAATGAGAAAGTAAAAAAAGAAAAGAAAAAAAAGCAGTGAGATAGAGAGAAAGAAACCAAGGCCGAGGAATAGGGTAAAGCCTCTACCTTTTTCAAGCACGTATTTCCTTGTGGGAAGAGGGCGCTAGTATGAGTATAGGCTCCTTCTTATATGACTTTCAGGTGGAGTTTATACACTCTAGAGGGGCTACCATTAGAGGGGCTACCAACTCTTGTTTGAAAAGAAAGAATGAAATCAAATAGAAAAGAACTTATAATAGAATCTCAACAGACCTATCTAACTAAAATACAGCCTACAGTAAACCAGCTGTTCACAAGGATTGCTATAATGGCGTGGCTTAAAGGCGTAAGCAGTCGTAGCCTTTTCATGACTCCTCTTAATTGAGATATAAGATCTAATGCTTAAAATAGTAATCACGTTGATTTTACCCCACATATAGGGTTGAGTTAAGCGAGCTAGTCAAATTAAAAAAGAATAGTATTTTACTTCTCATTTTAATGTATTTCTATGTAATTATATTAAAATTCTGAATCTTGTCTTTTGGGCTTGGCTAAGTGGTAATATCGCCGAGTTTGAAAAGACCAAACCAACCCAAACCAAACCAATAAAAGAAAAAGAATACTTTCATCGAACAAAAACAAAAAGAGAGAGGGATTCGAACCCTCGATAGTTCTTGTTGTGAACTATACCAATTTTCAAACCAGAGTTATCAACCACTCAACTATCTCTCTAACCAAAAAGCTAATTTCTATTTTATCTTTATTCTAAAAATAGAACATAACTAAATGAATTAGTACAGCTAGTATCACATATCCAATGTGAATCAATTGGTCACTTTTTGTTTTTGTAAATATTATAGAAGATTGCATAGATACACATAACATAGCAGAGAAAGGAATGTGTACCAACGAATAAACATAATCTAAAAAGATTACGTGATTGTTAAGATAATGATCAACTTGAAAGTCTAGCTCAAAAGCTGGATCCGTGTTTTTGGTAGCTGAGATTGGATTGCTGCATGCAGTACAAGAGCTTAGACGGGGTCTGTTTGGAGTCCTGGTTAGCCTAGGCGATATTTTTCCTTTATTTAATCAACCTAGCAAGGTGCCCGCGTTTGAATACTTTTTTATGTTTAATAGTTAAATTCGCTGTTAAAATTTAATTTTTTTTACTAGTTACAAATAAATTATTTTACCAAAATTTTTTTTTTCTTTTAAATTAAGTTACACTCTAACACACACACTTTCCCCTCCTCATGGATTTCATGTAACTATTTTTTAGTCGCAACTAGAATATGGTGTCTACTCACATAAATATTTTAAGTGCCCAAAAAATACAAAGAAAGAGTAAAATAGATAAGGGTCATATAGGTCCCATATTTTTTAATTAAATAAAATATTTTTTTTTATCTAAAAAATCTTCACTCTGTATCTTAGACACATTCTCACTCTGTGAGTTTTAGAATTTAACTCGTTGCACTCTAAGCAGGACATTCATAGAATATTCTTTCTTTGTTTTTTTATTTTTATATTTATATTTTTTTTTAACTTTTAAGATACTATGGCCCAAATAAAGCCAGCTCAGTGAAGATTTGCGAATAAATGCAAATCATGTTAATTGCGTTTGGTGAAAATGTTTCATCCGAATTTCAAACCTAATCTTGATAATGATTTAGAATCTAGATTGGATCACTCTCTTTGCTTTTTGTTCCGTTTATATATTATAATTTAGTATAAGAATGTATCTTTTTCTTTCTTTTATTTTTTCATTTTTGCAAGAATAGTATTATGTACGCATACATCTCTTTGTGTATACACCTTTTTACGAGCTTCAAAAGAGAAGTAAGCGTATCATTTGTTTAAAATTTATAGCCAAAGACCAAAGTTACTTTCTTAAATAAACATATACTATATGCAAAGTTTATTCTGTAAATGAAAAGTTGTAGGTGGTCAATAATTTTTGTGAATAATATCAATAAATATTCCCTTTCTCAAATTTTGTGACACTCTTAAAAATTAAATCAACATAAATCAAATACGATTAGGACTAATTGGAATAAAATTGGTACACACTGTATTGGGTTGACCCAACTGGATCAAATGAGTGAGGTGGGTCAAAAGGATCCAACACTCACTCACTTAACCCACAAAAAAAAAAAAACAACACATGACAATAACAACACACAAGACACTCTCTCTCTCTTTCTCTCAACTCTCTCACTCTCACACCACCAACACCACCATTTGAACCACCACAACTCACTCACCGGAGCTCCGATCGCCGCACCGTCGCCGACTACGTGAAGCTCTCGTCCCCATCTCCGTTTCAATAATACAATTGAGGTATGGGTAGAGTCTATCATAGCTACATTCTTCTTCTACTCCATTTTCTTGGGATTAGGTTGGTTTAAGTGACAATCCTTGATGATTGTTGATAATAGGGGACTCTAGGCACAAATTAAAGCCAATGGGACTCCATTAGAGCTGTTGGGTTGGAAGGAATTGGTTAGGGTTACGTAGCTTGGAGGTCTACAAGAGGTACGGAGTAGGATTCCTTAGTTTAAAGCTTGTATCTATGTGATTTCTTGAGTTGCATGCTTGAATTGTATGTTTGGTTATGAATTGGTATGTGGATATATGCTTGCATGTGCTTGATGATAATGAATTGTGTTACAAATTGTAAATTGAGTAGATAGAAAGTGGATTGGATGGGATTGAATTGTGAGATGGTGATATATGATGAATGGTGTATGGTATGAGCTTGGTAGAGGATAAGAAGTTGGCATGGTAAGAGAATTGGTTGGAATTTTGACTGAAAATGCAGGTTTCTGTCACGAAGGAATCGATTCGAGGGGTATCGAGTCGACTCGTTGGGCCTAAACTCTTTAAAATCTTCGAATTTCATAGACAGCGAGCCGATTCGGGTTCCCTCCGAACCAATTCGTTTTTGGACAGAGACCCAAACTCAAATATTAAATCGATTCGTCTGTGGATCGAGTCGACTCTGAGGAGAGTTTCAGAAAATGAAGTATTTGCTAAGTAATTCGAGTCGACTCCGATCTAGGGCGAACCGATTCGTTTTTGGATAGAGAGTAAAAGGCTTCTCTTAAATCGATTCGCACTTCCTTCGAGCCGATTCTAAGAAAAAGGTTTTCTCAAAAGACGATTGACTAAGTACACAGAATCGACTCGAGCTGGGAGTGGAACCGATTCGTTTTTGGACAGTGGCTAAACTTGATTTCTCAAATCGATTCGCTATACTGGCGATTCGACTCGAGCTTTCAAACTTAGAGAATTTAGGAAATTACACTTAAAACGAGTTGACACGGTTAGGAAGGGAATCGATTCGAAGCTCTTTTATACGTTGTTAACAAGACTGGAATGAGAGGTCCGAATCGATTCTGGGGGTACTCGAATCGATTCAGATCTTCTTAGATCTTTAAAACAGTGAATCTGAAAGGAGGTATAAGGCGATCCACTTCTTAAGCTATTCAATTGTTGTTATAAAATCATAACCGTGAGCCTAGGTCTAAGAGGGGTCAAGAGGACCAGAGCTCGGCTTACGGCAACAGCGGACCATCAGGAGTAGTAAGTGTCTGTGGGGCTTTTGTTTCCACGTGGGACAAAGGCTAACGTCGTGGCTTACGGTAGCGGCAGGGGGGCCTCCTGCCAACGTTTCGGCTACCAGGTTATAATTATTGAGAAAGAGAAGGGAACCCCATATATATATATTGATGAGAGGAAAAGATCGTTTACGATTGGGGCCGGCTGATTGGTCCTCCGGGGAAGTACGAACGATGGTCATCCAGTGCTAGTTCTGGATCGGTCGGGATTGGCTATGATAACCGACCGGATGAGCTCATCTTAGCCTATAGGAAATTAGGCATACATCATTTGCATATTGCGTGACATTGATTGGGTGTGCCTAACTGATATATAATTGTCTGATGCTAAATGTGTACTTGACTACTTGATTTACTCATTCTTTTTGTATACTTCTTGTGTGATGACCTTTGGAATTAGGTAGATATCAGAGTTAGGCTTGGGGCGCTTGCTCCGTACTGGGAACCCCATGAATTTGTGGTTCTCACTCCGTTGTTGTTGAAATATTTCAGATGCAGGTGGAGACTAGCGGTCTGGTCGTTTGGCTAGAGCTATGGGAGGCTTGGCTTTAGCTTATTTTGTTAACGGCTAGTGTGTACTTAGAGAGCTTTTTGTTGTAGGTGTAACCTTGTATCGGGAGAAGAATCGTGTATTCTGATAACACTCGTAGGATGTGTATTTGAGTTGGATTCTGTATTCTGTTTGGTTAACGCTGCGCTACTCTACGACACGTATTATTATTATTATATATGTATTTGAAATTGGCTCATGGTTATGTCTTTCTTCTATTCCTTAGGACCTTGTCTTGGTTTCCTTCGCGTATCGAAATTGTAAATGCCTTGAGTTCCACCGGTTCAGACTTAAGCTGTGTGGTGGAAGCTCGGGGTGTTACAAATTTAAATGATTAATTTTAATATTTTAAATGATGTTTTATTATCATTTTAATTCATCAATTTTAATATTTTTGGATAATCAAATATTATTTTGGATGATTTTTTAATTATTTTTCTGTTTTAATAACGAGTTTAATGTTTGTATTTTGTTGACTAATGATGTTGGCAAAAATATTGTTAATTACCTAACATAATTGTCATTAAATTTTTAAATAAAAGGTATTTTCAAGGCTACTCATGTTACCTTCTTGAATTAATAAAAACATTCTTAAGTGGGTTTTGAATTGCTGTTTATTTTCTAACACTACCAAAAACAAGGGGTTTAGCTACAGAAAAAATAGTGGCTAAAGTCCAAAGAAATCATGGCAACAACACTATTGTCATGAATGAAGATCCGTGGTTAAAGAGGGCGACGCATTTTTAAATACCCACAATTTTTGGTTAATTGGCCACGATTTTAATAGTCGTGGAGACCTTTGATTAGCCACAAATTTTGCATAATTGTACACGCTTTTTCCGTGGCAAAATGAAATTATATAAAACAAAAATTCTAATTTTGCTACCATTTAATAGTGGCTAATATATATATGTCCTCTTTTTTTTAATTTTTTCTGTGGGCAATGTTAGTGGATTATTTCATTATGTTATAGTATTTCTGTGGCTACCTTGAATAAATTGTAACAATTTCTCCATTACTAAATTAAAATTATTAGGTTAAAATTGTGGTCAATCATAAACTGATAAAAGTAAAACTAAATAAAATAAAATATAATAATAATGCTTTTTATTACTACAATATTATACATCGTAGAATACAAATAATAGACGTATACTAACAAATAGTATCCATTATAAAAAAATGAAATTAATACGAAGGTTTGACAAAAAAATCTCCTGTACTAAATAGGTTTAATGTTAAAAAAAATACCAAAATCTATTACAGAATAAATAATTACAGAAAAGTTGAGTAGCATCTTTGTTAATAAACAGAGTGCCAATGCCAATTGAGTAGACAGCCATTCCATATGAGTTGTCTTGATTTCTTCTCCATTCTTCGTTTCTTTACCATCTCCACCATGCATCTCTGTGAAACATATCTTCAACCAAAATAGTGATTCTTTTGTCAAATCTACATAAAGAACAAGTGATAAACACAATATATCATAAAATTAAAATAAAAGGTTGACACCTTCGGTATTTATTAATTCATCACTAACTCTCTTGAATTGCTCATGG